TTTTAGACAGATTGTAGAGATTCTTGAAGGCAAGCTGCACTTACTTGCAGCTTAAAACTCCTGTTATTCCTTTCACAGGCTAGACAATCCTCTAGCCTGGGTTCAGCCATTCTCCCCTAGTTCGGTGTTTTTTTTCTTAAGTGTTTCCAGCAGTCTTTTTTCTTGGAGGGGGGAGTCAGTGAAGAACGAACAACGATGATGTCACTCCCGTGCCTTAAATAGATTTAACATACAGTGGGAACCCTTTGTCTCCCAGTTCAATTCCCACACCAGGTCCGTGGAAAAACACTAGTATTATCATGGAGTTCAGTACTAGGTGACTTGGTCACATGTCCCTGTAGGGCCACTGCAGCCATGACTCGAAGGCTGTTTCCAGCATCCCCTGGAAGGCTCCCCAGTGGGAGATTAGCATCTTCTGAGACCTATTATTCTCCCTAATGGCCCTTTCCAACCAGCCATTTAGACTTATTGCATTCTGCCTAGTGGGCATTCCCCAGGTGTAAACACATTTGTAATAGATGCATAGACAATATTCCTAACTCAAGATACAAAAATGATATATCCATCCAAATAGGATAATCATATTCAGTAATTCATAACCTTTTCAACAATGTCACATGACCTAGCTTGTATAAAAATACATCACAGTTATGCCATAGAATATCATAGAATCATAGAATATCAGAGTTGGAAGGGACCTCAGGAGGTCATAATCACATCATAACAATATCTCTATGAAGAATATGGAGTGTAATGCCACACACAGGCCAAGTTGGATGCATTTGAACCTATATATATCCAAGTTTACTTGGAAAATCAAAAAAGGTACCATGTGAGGAAGAGACACTCAAAAGTGGAGGCCATGGGCCCCTTATCTCTGAAGTGAGCTGAAAGGCCTCCTTTGCTCCTTTCCTTTCCTCAGCCACTAAGGGTAAAGATAATAAAGATTGTGTAGGAACAGGCCAGTCATTATAATCACCTTCTCATTAACCCTCATATCTTGGTTCTCAGAGTAGATTTAAATGTAACTGGAACTTTGTTTCCCACTCCCAACATGCACACAAAACAATGCAACATGGACTGTCTTTTAGCCAAAATTCAGTGCTGACCAGCCCAACAGTTTCAAAGCTGGAAGGAAGGAACTACAGTCATTTAATCAAAGGCAGTGAACACCTTCCTAGTATCTCAGGAGAAATTCTTAAATGTTATCCAAATTAAAAGTATCACTTGTGGTTTAGATATTGGTATTACAGGGGATACACATCTGGACAAAGGCAAATGACATTCTAGTGTTTTTACAAGATGCTATGTTCATTGGGCTTAAGGCCAACACTTCTTGGAAAGAGAAGTCAACAACTGTAAGTATATTGCACTGTAAGAAACCCATGAGACTCTTGTTAGTCACTTAACAGATTCCTGAGGGACCATCAATCTTTTAATCCTCTGGCAATACGCATATTCCTGTCGTGTTCTTGCTCTGTGTGCTATAAATGCTATTAAAACCACCTTTCAGCTTCACAGTTGGTAGGTGTCTTTCTCTTCTCATTGAAAGCATCTTGCCGACTCACCAACTCTTTGTCTGATTAAATTTCAGAGTTTGCCATGCTATCAGTGAAACCTCAGTTACATGATCTGTCAAACATGATTGTTTTCCATCCCCACAATCTTCATATAATAGGAAGTGGTGGTATTGTCCTGGATTAATCCAAATATCTGAAGGGAGGAAAATGCATAAGTTAGATGTGAACAGAGGTTTCAGAGAATAAAGGTGTATATAGTACTTTCAGGTGTAATTCCTCTCATGACCATACACTCTGTGAAAAGAGCAATGACTTTGTGGGTGTAAAAATCATACGTCTTCTGAGGTCTGCAATATTACTATGGGGCCTTCTGTTCATGCTCTCAAGCACTATAGAGTCACCACCTTAGCCTTGCTCGTAGAAGGGTGTTATGAAACAGGGTGCCCAGTAACTCTTAAATTCCTTCTAAATCTTACGTGGTTAAACTGAATCCTCCATCCCTCCTTAGGGATGATTTACTGCTCTTTTGCATCCCTCTGTGAAGCCTGCCTGATGTGAAGGGGATTGGGAGGGAAAATTCTGTCTTACCTGTGAGTTTTCATTCTAGAATTCTTCATGTTAGACAGTATGACCCATCCCTCAGAGGACTGCATTATGTCCAGGGTTTTTTCTGGCTAATGCTCACTTGTTTAAGTAGCTTGAAAAGGAACAGAGATCCCTCAGGAGATCCCTAAACTTCATCTCAAGGCTTTGCTGCAAATGGTTTGAGTTGAATAAACTTTTATATAGTTAATATTTCTCTGTGTTAAGATATTGTTCTGGGGAGTTCTTCTGGAGTGATAGTCCCAGCTCAATTTCAGAGTAAAGATCTGGTTGGTACGGGTTTGGTCACAGAGACGCCCTTAGGACTGTCACCTTATGTGCTGAGACTATCTCTGAGGCTGTTTTCTCTGCCAGTTTGGGCCTCCAGAACCTTGTCTTGTTGAGCCAGATATGCGAATCTGCTGCAACACAGACCCAGGGTCTGACCCACGCCCCCAAAGCTGCAGACTTAACTGAAAACGGCTTAGCAAGTGCTCCTGTCTCTAGCACCCAGACATCCAGCTCTCAATGGGATCCAAACCCCAAATGAATCCATTTTACTCTGTATAAAGCTTATACAGGGTAAACTCATAAATTGTCCACCCTCTATAACACTGATAGAGAGATATGCACAGCTGTTTGCTCCCCCAGGTATTACTTACTTACTCTGGGTTCAATAATAAACAAAAGTGATTTTATTAAATATAAAAAGTAGGATTTAAGTGGTTTCAAGTAATAACAGACAGAACAAAGTAAGTCACACAACAAAATAAATCAAAACACGCAAGTCTAAGCCTAATACATTTAAGAAACTGAATACAGGTAAATCTCACCCTCAGAGATGTTCCAATAAGTTTCTTTCACAGACTAAACTCCTTTCTAGTCTGGGCCCAATCTTTTCCCCTGGTACAGTCCTTGTTCTAGCTCAGGTAATAGGTAGGGGATTTCTCATGACTGCAGCCTCCTTTGTTCTGTTCTACCCCCTTATATAGCTTTGGCACAAGGAAGGAATCCTTTGTGTCTCTCTCTGGGTTCCCACTCCTTCTTCTAAATGGAAAAGCACCAAGGTAAAGATGGATTCCAGAAGTAGGTGACATAGTCACATGTCCTGTGAGCCCCCCTCCATTCCTCCAGGATTGGCCCGCACGTATGTCGTGGAGGATTGCAAGTAAACAGAGCCATTTACTTACCACCAATTGTCCTAGTTGATCGGAGCCATCAAGATTCCAAGCTACCATTAATGGCCCACACTTGGCATAGTTACAATAGGAGTTCAGAGTAACACTTCATATTTCTAGCTTCAGGTACAAGAATGATACATTTATACAAATAGGATCAACACACTCAGTAGATCATAAGCTTTGTAATGATACCTTACAAGAGAGCTTTTGCATAAAGCATATTCCATTTACATTATATTTACACTCATAAGTATATTTCCATAAACATATGGAGTGCAACGTCACACTGGTCTGCCCCCAGTTGTCAGGGCATGACCCACTGTGAAAACTGTCTGACATGGTGAGTTTTAGACCAGGTCTACACTTCAGACCTATATTGATATAACTACATCGCTCAGGGGTGTGAAAAATCCGTACTAACTTAACTCCCTAGTTGAGCTTCTCCTGTTGACATAGCTACTGCTTCTTGGGGAGGTGGATTAACTACGCTGACAGGAGAAGGTCTCCCATCGGCAGAGGAGCGTCTTCAACTTAAACACTAGCGTTTTAAGAGTAGACATCCCCTTTAAATGAAAATTGACCAGTTAGACAGAATTTTCCCTTATGAAATCCTACAGCAAGCTGCACATTTTTGACATTTTCTAAATGAAACATTTTGATTTTTTTCTATATAAAGTGACTTTTCATTTTGAAATTACTTTTAATTTTGCATTAAAAAAATCAGGAAATTGAAATGAAACGTTTAGTGTTGGGTGTGAACAAAATATTTTGTTTGACCCATAATGATTTTTTTCTTTGATTTGCTGAAAACTTTACACTTTAATTTTCTGTCTGGCCCAAAATGAATTATTTTTTAAACTTTTCAAAATTGCAATGAACTTAAAAATCTGTTATTTGCCTCTAGTTACTAGAAAAATAGAAAAGCAGAAAATGCAAATGTTTGTTCTGAGAACTAAGCTTTAACGTTCTAGATGAGCATGAGGAGCACAGGCCACTGCTGAGGTGTCTGCAGCCTATAACATAACCAAAGTTTTGCATGTGTCCATTTTTCCTTATTTTTGTTGTACTAGTGGAGAGGGAGGACATGATTTTGCGAGGCAGCTGGAGAAGGAATGTGCGAGGGGAGGGGAGGGAGTTTCAGCACTCCTCATAGACTAGTGGTTCCCAAACTGTGGGACACACCCCCTTAAGGAGGGATGCGGAGGAAGGTTCGGGCGGTGCAGTGGGGCCCAGGCCAGCCTCCATGGGGGCTGGTGGGAAGGGAGCATCACCCAGCCCCGCCCCATTCCGAGCTCTGCTCCGTCCCTATCCCCAACTCTGCTCCGCCCTGCATATGACCGTGGCTCTGCATGCGGCCATGGCCCCGGCTGCCAGCCCAGGGGCGCCGCTGCACGTGATTCCAACAGTGGCTCACGGGGCGGAGGCACGGATGGGATAAGAGGGAGCGTGATGTGAAAAGTTTGGGGACTACTGTCATAGACCCTGTGCTATCAGTTCTCCTCTCCTGGCTTCTCTGTTATTAGTTCCCTCCTTCTCTTGGCACTTCTCTGCTCTTGCCAAGATAAAATTAGGATGCACTGTCAAGAACTGAATTTTTTTTTAATTAGTCAATTTTAAAAGAATAAGTTGACCATGCCTCTTCACAAGAGATGCAACTTAAGGGTCAGACTAATTATCAACCGTAAAATAGATTGATGTTTGTCTTTATTTTTTACAGAGACGTGGAGCAATTTCCTATGACAGCTCTGATCAAACTGCATTGTACATTCGTATGCTAGGTAAGCATGGCAACTTCTGTATTGTAGCGCTGATCTATATTTGTGACTATTTGCTTTAAAATGGTGTGGTGAACTGTAACGTAATTTATAAATACAGTATTTAAAATCTTTTCAGTTTGTCCTTTTTTCTGCTGTCACTATTTTAGACAACTTATTTTGCCATTTACTAACTGCTGCAAAAAAAGTTATTCCACCCAAGTATTGTATTTGGGATTGAGGCTCCATTGTGCAAAGTGCTGTAAAGATATATATATATATAAAAAAGGAAACCATGGTTACTGTCACAAAATGTATTACGATACTGAAGGCAGTGTTTCCTCATTAGTTTTGGATTTAAGGAAAAATATTTAACAGGAGAAGAATCTTACAGGTTTGCATAGGCTTATGTTTTGTGTACCTCACTTAAATCTGTAGAAAAAATAGATTTAATGGGTGGCAATTACCTTTGTATGTTCATTTTTAAACAATATTATGTAAAGTCTTTATTTGTATTGCAGTACTTTTTGTTGTCCCTCATTCAGTATGCATATAGCAGAACATTTTACACCTGTCATTTTTTTGTTATAATTAAAATTGAATGGTTTATAAGAGAGTAAATATTTGCATATAAGAATAGTTTTGTCTTACACTTCTAAAGTTCATTATAGTAACTGTCTTAAGTCTCAATCTTGAAATAATGATGTGAATTAAAATGGAGTAACTGAAGCAGGACTTCTCTGCTTTCCTGCATGTGCTGCCTGGGCTTAGGATGGGAAGAGCAGCCCATGGAGCTGGGAAAGTGCTGAGGGTGCTAGCTTGGGGGGGTAGCTCTTTCCCGTCCTGTTCCTTTGTTCAGCCCTAAGGAGGTGAAGGGGTGGGGTGGTGAAAGTATCCCAGGAGTGTCTTCCTCTTCTTCAACCTTCTGAGAGTCAGCCCCAGCTTGACTTCACTCTCCTAGAACTGGGGATGTGCAGCATCCAGGGAAATGGCAGGGCCAGCAGCCAGTTGCGGGGGCAGGAGACTGTATGAACGGGTGAGAGCTGGATGGGGCAGTGCCTAGAGAAAGTACAGTAAGATTGTGGTTAGTGCCTATTAGAGAGGGCTGCAGGGTGTAGGGCACAGAAGAGGGTGCTGAGATCAGTGCCTAGGGACGGGATGATATTGAAGTGTCCTACCTATCAACCAGAAGTAAAAGGAAGAGGACGTCTCCCAGATTGTGCATTTCAGGCTAACTTTTTTCTGAAATGCTCCTACACAAAGGGGAAATTCCCCCTAAGAATTCAAAAGTCAGGTACCAGACCAAAAAAGTAATATAACTTGCTTAAAAATCGTGAGGATTTTCTTTTTTTTTGGGTATCATGATTCTTCTTTGAGTGATGATCCCTATGTGTATTCATATGTGAGATATGCATGTGCATCATGTGCCTGTGTCCGGAATTTCTTGTAGGCATTGTCCATTGGCTTGCACACGTGCAGTAGCTCTCTTTATGCTCCCAACCAAGGTCATAAAGGGCGATGTGGGCCAAAGCCTTTCCAGTTCCTTCTTACCACCACATGGTTTGCATCGGAATTTTTGGTGTTCTCAGCTCCTTTTTATTGTGTCATTCCTATAAGAATCATATGTAGTTAGTTTTTTAGTTTTAATAGATTAGTGCAGCATAGCTAGATAGCATTTTTTTCCCCCCTGAGAAGTCTGGGATTATGCCCAGGGTTCAAAAACTGTTTCCTTCTCTAGCTCCTTTTCTGTTAACGACAAACATCAACACTTCCTCTACTGCCTGGGTGAGGTTCACATTTCTGACAAGTACAGCATCTCACTCCTTTCCCCCCTTGACTCATGAGGGTCGAGACTCAGAAAACACCTCATGGAGAAGGCAATGAAGCCTTGGTCAGATTTGCGCTGGGGACCCACCCTGTACATCAGTCTCAACAAGCAAGTAGCACCCATCCGACCACAAGTTCAGGAATGGAGGGTAGGTCTTCACACTAGAGTAAGGGGCACTCTCTTAGATGGAAAGGCAAGTCATCTATGTCTAAAACTATCCTGAAAAGAAGGGATTGTGGAGATTAATGGAAGGAGGAGGCACATGTCAGAGCCCTAGGGGGGCTCATGTCAGGGCCCTAGTGGGGCTCTGGGTGATCGCTACTTCCCACCACCCAACACAGATGTAATGAGGTTGAGTAGTGTCCGCAAAAGAGAAACTAAACAACTAATTATTCCTCAAGAAAGGTTTTTAATGACTTACGACTATAAAGGCAACACAGGCAGAATAAGAAAAACAGAATTAAAGACCAGCACTGAGTGAGGATTAATACAAATGGCAAGTTATACTGGAGACAAGCACAAGTACAAGTAATATTATGCATTAACTACCTGTTCCTATAAGTGCACATATAAAGGGTAAATAATATTGAAAATAATCACAAGCACATGCAACGCTAGTATTACTGATTGCCTAGCAGCTTCACATGTACTGTAACCACCCTCAACAAATACAATTCTAAATGCAATACTAATACATTGATTAACTATATTTTTACAAACTTTAACCTACCTATAACCTTATATAACAATTTATAAACTTTTATTGACTTTTATGATAAACTTGATGGTAACTTATACTGAAGACAGGCACAGCAACTTGTAAAGCTATTATGGTTTATAAACTACTAGCTTCACCAGCGCTGTACCTGCTTCCAGCAAGGCCAAAACATATACAGTTATTATATATTGATTAACTATTGACTACTATTTTTAAACAACTTAAAACAATTTACTAATATAATTAAACTATAGTAGTAATACAGACTTAAGATTAACTAGCTCGAGCACAACCAGACTTCTTCACTCCGAAACCTTACCCTGCATTCTTCCAAAGATACATTACCTTCAGTCGACCGTTTCCTGCACTGGCCAGGCACAGATAGTCGGTGAAGTGCAAGTCCCTTTGGTTCAGGGGGTGTATGTGAGCCTGACAAAGAGTGATCTCTTTTAGGTCAACACACACACACACACACACACACTAACACACACACATACTTGCGTCTTTGCACCTTTTTTATATGGTATTTGCTGGCCGTGTTTCAAAACAGGTCAACCAATGAAGGTAGCCAAATGTTTCAGTGTGGTGTTTGCGGTTGTTTTGAACTTATGAACTGTGCACCTGTGCTCAGCTCATCTCTTCTCTATGTGGCTAATTGTGGTCAATTTGCTAGATTCAAAAATGCTCGAGTCAGCTTAAAAATTTATTTGGTTGCAGAGCATAGTAACCACAAGTCTGTATCTATCTTTACAGAGTTTCATTTTTAGTTTATAAAGCTTCCTAGCTAGATTATGCTTATGCTTGCAGGATTCAACTGTACTCGCTTCTTACAACTTCCGGAAGGTTGCTGGAAGGTTGAGGCCTAACAGTGCTTAGCCTGACACTACTTGACAAGACTTATGCACATTAATCACAGGGATCACTTCCTTACCCCATCAAAGTTGGGAGAGCCAGCATGCATGGGCACTAAAGTCTTAGGCCTGACTAAATCTTCTCAACGAGAGAAGGGGGCATGTGAGGTCATGGATCTGATGGTGGTGAAGATGCAGAATAGACCGTTCCTGGTGCCTCCATTCACTGCGGGAACCCAGGGAGTACCAATAGCGATGCGGCCGCAGAGTGAGCCAACAACCACGGTAACCAGAGAGGCTCCAGCTCTATCCCTGGACTCTCTTCATTCTTCAGGGTGGATGGAGAAATATGTCTTCCCAGAAGATGTCTTTGCTCTCTGTGTCCAAGTTCACCAGTCTATGGGGTCCATCTATATTCAGGGATGTTGTTACAATGGAGGAGGAGTCTATCTCAAGGAGATGGAGTTATTCTCCCATTCTCCCTGCTAGTCTTGAAGCACAACCATCATTACTGTCGAAGCCACTCGTGATCAGGGATCTGGCCTTCTCTTCCAATGAGTCAGAGGCTCTGTAGGAGACTCTGCTGCACTGAGGACAGGCGGCCTCAGACAGAACCCCTAGAAGTTCAGGGTTCTGATCTTCCACAAGACCTGATTGGTCAAGAGACAGGCGGTACCCTCTTCCATGGGGTTCCCCTCCACTGATGGATCCATCTATTGGAGATACTGGGACCGCAGGAGCCCTACCCCAGATACCTAGGATCTGTGCATAAGTCCTTCTTGCTATCACCCAGCTATATGCAACTGGCCCTGTCAGAGTATTCGGAGGAGTAAGGTGAGCCAGATCTGATGGTTCCAGGAGCAATCTCGTCACTGTCATTGGGTGAGGTGGTCACTCCATCTTCTCCATCTCCCCGGATTACTTTAAACAATACCAAGAGGTCATGCACAGGGTAGTGGCAGAGCTATAAATCCAGCTGGAGGAAATTCAGGAGCCTCAGCACAGCTTACTAGACATTCTGCAGCCCTCTGGTCCCAGCAGAGTGGCCCTCCCCATCAATGAGGTCATCATGGAACTAGCAAATATGGTTTGGCACACTCTTACTACTTGTGCTCCCACCTCCGAGAAGGCTGAGAAACACTACTTTGTCCCATCCAAGGGGCAAGAGTTCTTCTTTTCTCACTGTCCACCAAACTCCCTGTGGGGGCGGGGAGGGGGGGTGGGGGAGAAGCATGCAGCCACAGAGTGGTCCAGGCATCAGCACCCAAAGGCTCCTTCCTCTGGTAAGGGACATAAGAGACTCGACCTTTTCGGAAGACAGGTATTCTGTTCCATCTCTCTCCAGTTCAGGATCTCTAATTATTAGGCCCCCTTGGCCAAACATGATTTTATCAATTATGCTAGATTTCTAGAGTTTAAGGACAAGCTCTCTGAGGAGAATAGAGCCTGCTTTCAGGCCTTAGTGGATGAGGGCAAATTGGTGGCCAAAATTTCACTCTAAGCTGTGGTGGACGTGGCAGATACCACATCCAGGGGGATGACTATGGCCATTGTCATGAGGACAGAACCGTGGTTACCATCCATGAGGCTTGTGAGGAATCCATCAGCCTTGCTACCCACCAGCATC